GTGGAATATGCAAATGTCAAGAAAATATGCGTGAGAATGTATACGGGAGGCAAAGTAACAATATAGACACAAATGGAGCTTAAAACACAAAAAATGTGCCAAGTTTCTCATGATTAAGTGCGCAAACATCATCAAGAGAACTCGGATTTTTCCCGAACAACCTCGGGCATATGGAAGTATGTAGGGAGGGGTGGCACATATTCAAATTTTGTGCTCATTTGATGTCTTATGGATATGTAATGCAAGGGGCGAAGTGGGTGTGGTGAAGTGACGTGAACCTAAGACATGATCCTACATATGTGTGGGTGGTGAATGCATGTGTCGAGCTCAATTTTGATAGCAATGGATCACAATGTTTAGGTGAATTCATATAAGAAGAGTGGCAAATGCGGGAAACTACAATATGCACTACAGTTTTCATGTAGGCAATTCCATGTGAACCATAAAGAAATAACCAAAGTTGAATGTGCCACCAACCCAAAACACAACCCAAGCTCGTACACACAAACCATTGACTACCTATTGCCCATTCTCCCATAAATCCAACAAAATGAAATAGAAAACCATAGAGTACCCAAATGAAAGAACCGAGAGGGAGGGAAGAAAAATACCTTGTGTTATGATTGTGGTGGTTGATGCACGGGGTGAAGATTAGGGGATTGCTAATGGGCGTATTTGTTGTGTAGTGAATTTGTTGTCAAATTCGCCTTGTACATCGAGAGGAGAGTAGAAAAATGTGGTAATGTGAAGGAGAAATCGGGCGTGGTTTAAAATCCTACGCCAGATTCTTCCATGCGGCCGCATGGCTTTAAGCCATGCGGTCACATGGTTCAAGTGGGGATGATTGTGCGGTCGCACTGTGCGACCGCATGACCAAATTTTTTTTCTTTTTTTGAACAAAAAAACTTTCTTTTATCTAGAAATGCGTAAACCAAACTGCCAAACACCTAAAATCATTTCAAACTCACCGATCATGTGTGTAATGCCTAGGAGATTATTGGGATGATAATTTGATCCTATTAACATGTATGTACGAACGATGACCTAGAAAAATGAAAATGCGAAAATTAAATAAGTCTAAAAATAATGTGAAAAGTAAGCTAATAGAAGGATATAGTGGGTTGCCTCCTACCCAGCGCTAGATTATAGTCGATAGCTCGACTTTATCGTATTGCGTCATTCTGGTGGTCTAAAATGAACGGTAGGCTTTTCCTTTGAAAAATCGTCGTCCCAATAGTGCTTCAAACACTGTCCATTGACCTTGAATGTCCCCTTGTTGTCTTGAGTGATCTCAACCATCCCATGTGGAAAAATCTGTGTAATAGTATACGGACTAGACCACTTTTATTGCAGCTTTCCTAGAAACAGCTTAAGCCTAGAGTTGTAGAGTAGCACTTTTTACCCCACCGTAAATTCACGCCTCTGAATGTGCATATCATGCCATTTCTTGGTGCGCTCTTTGTAGAGTCTTGAATTCTCGTAGGCTTCCATTCTGAGCTCATCCAGCTCATTAAGTTGTAGTAGACATTTTTCACCCACAGCCTTCAAATCCAAATTCAATTTCTTCATTACCCAGTAAGCATGATGTTCTATCTCAAGAGGAATGTGGCATGCTTTCCCGAAAACCAGTCGATATGGCGACATTCCTATAGGGGTCTTGAATGCCCTATTGGCCCACAAGGCGTCGTCTAGTTTCTTAGACCAATCTTTTCGTGACGAGCTTACTGTGACTTTGAGTATTCGCTTCAATTGCCTATAGGACACTTCGACCTGTTCGCTGGTTTGGGGGTGATATGCAGTGGCTACACGATGTTTAACGCCACATTTAGTCAACAATTGTTCAAACTGGCGATTGCAGAAATGTTTGCCCCGGTCACTAATTATAGCCCTCGGTGTGCCAAAGCGATTAAAAATATGTTTCTTTAGAAAGTCAATCACCACCTTCCCATCGTTGGTAGGCAATGCAATGACCTCTACCCACTTCGATACGTAATCCACAGCCACTAATATGTACTGATTAGAGAAGGATGGGAAAAATAACCCCATAAAGTCGATCCCCCAAACATCAAATAGTTCCACCTCCAGGAAACTGGTTAAAGGCATTTCGTTTCTCCTGGATATATTATCTGTGCGTTGACATCGATCACACCTTTTCACGAATTCAAAGGCATCCTTAAAGAGTGTAGGCAATTAAAAACCTGATTGAAGGATCTTCGCCGCTGTTTTTGAAGCACCAAAATGCCCTGCATATGTAGATGACTGACAATGTTCTAGTATCAAAGGCACTTCTTCCTCAGGTACGCAGGGACGAATGATTTGATCAGCCCCTCCTCCCCCCCGCCTGTATAGAATGGGGTCCTCCCAAAAATAATACTTCAATTCAGTGAAAATTTTCTTCTTCTGATGACTGGAGTAATCAGGCGGTATGATAGACCTGGCTAAGTAGTTAACTATGTCCGCATACCAGATTGCCTCCTCCACACCAAAAATCTGTTCATCTGGGAAGACTTCATTGATTTCCACTATCTCTGTCTGTTCTGTGGCCTCAAATCGAGGCAAGTGGTTTGCCACCACGTTTTCACTGCCCTTCTTATCCCTGATTTCCAAGTCAAACTCTTGAAGCAACAGTATCCAACGAATGAGACGGGGCTTTACATCCTTCTTTTCCATTAAGTACTTGATAGCAGCACGATCTGTGTAAACGATGACCTTTGACCCCATAAGATATGATCGAAATTTGTCAAAGGCGCAGACTACGGTAAAGAGCTCTTTTTCTGTAGTGGCATAATTGAGTTGAGCGTCGTTCAAGATCTTACTTGCATAGTAGATCACGTGAAATATCTTATTTCTTCGTTGTCCCAATACTGCCCCAACAGCAAAATCACTGGCGTCGCACAGTAATTCAAATGGTAGGTTCCAATCTGGTGTGATGATCACGGGTGCTGAAATAAACTTTTCTTTCAAGGTGTTAAAAGCTAGCAAACATTCATTCATAAACTCAAATGTGGATTCCTTCATCAATAAATAGCATAGTGGTTTGGTAATTTTTGAGAAATCCTTGATGAACCTTATCTGTGTAAACGATGACCTTTGACCCACAAGATATGATCAAAATTTGTCAAAGGCGTAGACTACGGTAAAGAGCTCTTTTTCTGTAGTGGCATAATTGAGTTGAGCGTCGTTTAAGATCTCACTTGCATAGTAGATCACGTGAAATATCTTATTTCTTCGTTGTCCCAATACTGCCCCAACAGCAAAATCACCGGCGTCGCACAGTAATTCAAATGGTAGGTTCCAATCCGATGTGATAATCACGGGTGCTGAAATCAACTTTTCTTTCAAGGTGTTAAAAGCTAGCAAACATTCATTCATAAACTCAAATGTGGATTCCTTCATCAATAAACAGCATAGTGGTTTGGTAATTTTTGAGAAATCCTTGATGAACCTTCTGTAGAACCCGGTATGCCTGAGGAAGCTACGACCACCTTTCACTAATGTTGGTGGCGGTAATTTCTCGATCACCTGAATTTTTGCTCTGTCCACTTCAATACCCTTTGCTGAGATGCCTTCCTGTACCATAAAGTGGCATTTCTCTCAATTCAATACCAAGTTAGTCTCCGTATACCGCTGTAGCACAAGACTCAAATGCTCCAAGCACTCATCAAACGAAGACCCGAACACTGAGAAGTCGTCCATGAATACCTCGATGAATTTTTCAATCATATCTGAGAAGATAGCCATCATGCAGCACTGAAAAGTTGCAGGAGCATTGCATAAACCAATCGGCATCCTACGGGATGCAAAGGTACCGTAGGGGCAGGTGAAAGTTGTCTTCTCCTAATCGTCAGGTGCTACTGGAATCTGATTATACCCAGAGTACCCATCCAAAAAATAGTAATACGAGTGCCCTGCTAGTCTCTCCAGCATTTGATCAATGAACGGTAGTGGAAAGTGATCCTTACGAGTAGCAGCATTTAGTTTACGGTAATCAATGCAAACTCTCCATCCAGTCACTGTCCGAGTAGGAATAAACTTATTTTTCTCGTTTTCTATCATTGTGATGCCCCCTTTCTTGGGAACAACCTGTACTGCACTGATCCATGTACTATCTGATATTGGATATATGATGCCTGCGTCGAGCAACTTCAATACCTCAGCCCTAACCACTTCCTTCATGTGTGGATTCAATCTCCGCTGACCATCAATGCTTGGTTTGAATTTTTTCTCCATGAGTATTTTGTGCATGCACAGCGACGGGCTGATCCTCTTGATATCTGCAATAGACCATCCAATGGCTATTTTATTCTCCCTTAGCACCCGAAGTAGTTTCTCTTCCTCCACTTCACTGACAGTACTTGAAATAATAACTGAAAGTGTAGAAGACTCCCCCAGTTAAGCATATCGAAGGTGTGGTGGCAATTGCTTGAGTTCCAATTTGGGAGGTTACTGAATAGATGGCACTGACTATGTAGTCCTAGTTCCCAGCTCTTCGAAGTAACGTCTGTGCATGTATGGTGGATTAGTTTCCAAAAATCGTGCACATGTTTCAATCTCACTTGAATCAGTGTGAGTGGATTGAGAATGTGCAATGCACTCCTCATATGCATCGGAAGGATGATGTAGTCGAAATGTATCTTGAATTATTCTGTCAATTACATTGATCTGGAAACAGCTGTCTGACTCAGTAAGGAATTTCATTGCCTTGAACACGTTGAAAGTGGTTTGCTCTTCGCCAAGCCTCAATATAAGCTGCCCTTTCTGAACATCAACAATCACTCTTCTAGTAGCTAAGAAAGGTCGCCCCAATATGAGTGTAACATCCTTATCTTCCTCCATGTCTAAGATGAGAAAATCGGCTGGAAATATGAACTTCTCCACTTTTACCAACACGTCTTCAATGATCCCTCTTAGATGTGTAAGGGATCGATCTGCTAACTGTAAGGTAACTGCTGTGGCTTTAGCTTCTCCCAAGCTGAGTTTCTTGAAAACAGAAAGAGGCATTATATTAATACTTGTACCTAAATCACCCAACGCTTTATCAAAATGACAATTCCCAATAGTGCAAGGTACAGTAAAACTCCTTGGATCCTTTAGTTTTGGAGGCAGCTTTCTCTGGATTCTGGCACTGCATTCCTCAGTTAGCATCACCGTTTCATTTTCTTCTATCTTTCGCTTGTTGGAGAGGATATCCTTTAGGAATTTTGCATAACTCAGGATCTGAACAAGTACCTCATCAAATGGGATGTTGATGTGTAATTTCTTGAAAACTTCAAGAAACTTACTATATTGCTGATCCAATTTGAGCTTTTTCAACCTCTGCGGGAATGGAATAGGTGGTTCATGAGGGTTGATAGGATTGATAACTGTACCCCGTGATGTATTGAAATTTTTCTTCGCAACATCTCCTATTATTTGTTCAGTCTGTTCCACAATCTCATCATCTGAGGTTGGTGCTGATTCCTTGCTAGCTACTAGTCTTTTTACATGTATTTTCGATAGTTGTACTCCAATTCTGGTTGTTATAGCCTTTCCGTGCTCCTTAGGGTTGATTTCATTGTTGCAAGGTAAGTTTCCTAGTCCTCTACCCGTCATGGAGATTGTCATCTGTCCCACTTGTGTCTCCAAATTTTTGATTGCTGCACTTTGCTCTTGAAGAGTTGCATCTGTTTTTCGTATAAAGTAGTTGTTGGCTTCCATATACTGATTGGTTGTTGCCATGAACTTCTTAAACATCTCTTCCAATGGTGGCTTTTTATCATGCTACGGATATTGACCTTGTGGCCTGTTTTGATTCTGATTACTCCACAAGAAGTTTGGGTGTTTTCTCCAGCCCTGATTAAAGGTTTCCGAATGTGGGTTGTTCTATTGGCATTGATCCCATTGCACAAAATCTGCATGTTCGACCCCCTGTGCGAGAATTGGACAATTAACAATGTTGTGGTCTACTCCACATTCTTCACAGCTAGGCTTCTTGACTTGTTTTGCAATCACGGTCTGTGAAATACTCTTAACCTTATGGAATAAAGAGTCTATCTTTGAAGACAATGCTGAGTAAGTATTTACTTCATAAACCCCCGATGTTCTCTTCTGAACCACTCGATCTGTAGACCACATGGCTGAAGTTGTACCCATTCTTTCAAATAACTCCCATGCTCCGTCAATTGTTCTTGTGGAGATAGATCTGTTGGATGATGAATCTACCATGCTCTTGAAGGATGGAAGTAGTCCAGTGTAGAAAAATCGGATCTGTGTCTTCTTGTCCAAGCCATGTTGCGGACACTTCCTTAACATATTTTTGAAACGATTCCATGCCTCTTCAAATGATTCGGACTCACATTGGTTGAATATAGAGATATCATGCCGCATTTTGGCTACCTTAGCTGGCGAGAAGAACTTGGTGCAAAATTTGTGGGCTAGCTCGTTCAAAGTGGTGATACTTGCGACGGGAAGTAAATCCAACCATTCAAGTGCTTTATCCCGTAAGGAGTGTGGAAACAAGCGCAGTCTTATAGCATTGTCCGAGATACCCTGATACCTAAAGTGTTGGTACATATCCAGAAATCGGGATATGTGTGTACGCTGATTTTCACTAGCCATCCCGTGGTATTGATGCCCATTCTGAAATAGTTGAATCACATTTGTTTTTAGCTGGTAATTCGGTTGCTCAAATGTAGGATACACAATGCTAGATTGACTTTAGACCACCAACGGAGCCATGAAGTCCCCGAGTACTATATTCCCATCATCTTCAACTGCCATGCCTTCATTGAGTGGAATTACCGATCGATTTTGCTCGTTAGCCATTTGTTGTGCGGCTCTTGCTTCTCTTTGCCTATGACGAAATGTGCGTTCGATCTCTAGATCTATGGGAACCAAGTCTTGATCAGGTGCGCATTGCATACAAGCCCTGAGATAGCAAAATTAACACAAAATTAAATTGAAGTAATTTTAAACTAAACCTAGTAAGCTAACTACTACTAATCTAGATAAGTTCGAATTAGTGTCACAAAAGATAAAATTAAAACTAAATTTCAATCCCTGGCAACGGCGCCAAAAACTTATTCACGAAATTATTTGTTCCGATTTAAAATTCACAGCAAGTGTACGGTTCGTTAACAAGTAGTAAAATGGACTATGAGTCCAAGTATCGATCCTACAAGGATTGAATTAGTTCGAATTAACCTATTATGACCTTAACCAAAACACGAAAATCAAATTGAGATTTTGTACTTTAACTAACAAGATATAACCTTTGATGCAAGTATGAATGAAGAATTATACTAAATGCAAAATAACTTGGATGCAATTTACTAGACTTTTATGGAATTAATGGATATACTAACGCACTAGGATCACGAATCCCCAAGCAATACCCGTTCAATTTTCATTTATGCAAGTTTGGCACACAATTCCATAAAAGATGAATCAATATTCCTATTGTAATTTAGCAATCTCTCTCGAACAATGCCAAACCTATCCCAATAAATGATTCGACCATATTTCTATGACGAATGCTAACATACCGGAATGCATTAGAAATTCGTGAATATCCAACATTCACACAAGGTATAGAGGTATATTTTTATCCCCTATTGGACCCTATGATGATTTATACTATGTCGAACATATTTTCCTTCTTTCAAATGCATAAAACAGGCCACCACAATCATATAATTACGTGCACAATAATCATATGAAAATAAAAACGTAATAAATCAATCAAATCTGGAACTTGCGTTTAAATACGTCAAAAATCCAAAACAACAATCAAACGTAGTATTATAAGGTTCATCGATCTCCTACCAATGATAAATCTAGCCTAACATGCTAAAAAGAAGAAAACATAAAAATATTTGAAGAAACGTCATCACCCGAATCAATCTTCAATCGAATCTTCACTTGGCGTGATGTTATCCTCTTGTTCTCTCCTCGTTTCTCTTTCAAAATCTTTCAAAATCTTTCAAAAACTTGTAAAAACGGTGTCCCCCTCGGGTATTTATATCCTGTGAAAATTTTGTTACCAAAAGAGTTTTAATTGTACAAGGAAAGTAAAATTTTTGGTCCAGAAAACTACTATGTGACCGCTTGATTTTAATCCGTGCGGCCGCATGGTTATGCCATGCTGTGTCCAAAATTTCCTGCCTTCATTTGTGTGACTACACGGGAGTTCTACCATGCGGCCGCATGGTAGACTCTAACTTTCATTTACTCCAATTTGGTCCCTCTACTTGAATCTTTTATTTCTTGACATCTTTTCTTCATTCTTTCCATTCCATTGTCCCAAGGTATCGTCAATTGGAAATTGGCTAAATAAATTTCTCGATTTGTTCATCGGGTCAACTTTTGGATAATTGCACCTTGTTCCCTGAACTTTAACTTTGCATCATTTTAGTCATTTTTCGCGTCTTTTCTCCTGAATTTCGCCATGTTCATCATTGTTCCCTACAATTCACAAATGTAATGAGATTAAGTCACAATTCAATCGTTTTGCTCGTTATTCAGTCATGTTTATGACCTAAGTAAGTGTGCAAAAATACACTTATCACACTTTCTAAACTCGCGAGCAGCAAGGACTCCGAACTACTTGCAATAGCACCAATTCAGCACCTCCTTACGCCGTCTACCGAGGCCCATGAAGTAATGTGGATCGAAGAAACCCCCACATGGATGCAACCAATCATAGTCTACCTAAAGGACAAGGTTCTGCCCACTAACAAAGATGAAGCCTACAAACTGAGAAGGAGGTCAGCTCATTTCCTCTTCATTGATGACGTACTCTACAAAAGAAGCTTCTCCTTCCACCTCTTCGCTGCGTGGGAGGAGACGAGGCCACCTACATTCTAAGAAAAATCTATGAAGGTGTTTGTGGCAATCACTCAGGAGGACTAACCTTGGCACAAAAGGTACTGAGGCAAGGGTACTACTGGCCCACCTTGAAAAAGGATGCACTTCAATTCGTGCGCAAATGTGACAAGTGCCAACAGTTCTCTCCCATTCAAAGGCAACCCTCGCAGGAGCTGACTGTCGTCTCCAGCCCATGGTCCTTCTCTAAGTGGAGCGTGGACCTGATAGGTCCTCTCTATCCTTTTTCAAGTGGGGCATGGACCTGATAGGTCCCCTACCTAAAGGTAGGGGAGGCACAAACTTCGCCGTTGTGGCCATTGATTATTTCAAGAAGTGCGTTGAAGTCGAACCGCTAGCAAAGATCACAGAAGCAAACATCTCTAAGTTTTTTTGGAAGAACATTATATGCCGGTTTGGAATTCTCCATTCCATAGTTTCAGACAATGGAAGGCAGTTCGACGATAAGAAAGTCAGGAACCTATGCAAAGTACTTAGAATCAAGAAGCACTTTTCAATGCCTCATCATCCTCAAGCCAATGGCCAAGTTGAGACTGTAAACAAGACGATCAAACATGTCCTTAAAAGGAAACTGGATACATCAAAGGGAGCCTGGGTTGACGAGTTGCCTCAAGTACTTTGGGCAATCCGAACTATCACCTGAACTCCCATGGCGAAAACTCATTTCCTCATGGATTATGGCACCGAAGCCATGAGCCCCGTTGAGGTCGGCTTACCATCACCGCATCGTCTATACTTCAGCGAAATAACTAATGACGAGCTACAGAGGTTCAGCCTCGACTTCATTGATGAAAGAAGAGATGACTCCCAGCTGAGGCTCGCTACTTACCAAAGGAAAATGACTAAATACTTCAACTCTAAGGTGAAGAAGAGGTCCTTCCGAATTAATGACCTGGTCCTTAGGAGAGTCTTCTTCTCCTCTAAAGGGCCAGGCGTAGTTACCTTGGGTCTAAACTAGGAAGGTCCCTACAGAGTCAATGACGAACTCTGACCCGACACCTACAGAATTGAAGACATGGATGGCATGGCACAGTCTCATCCATGGAACATTGAGCATCTTAGAATTTACTACCAATTGATTTTCAGCTTAAATAAAATATCATTAAAGTTTAGATACATCTCTCAAAGCGTGAGAGCCTCAGAGGAGAGGTCATGATTCCCAACTCTGGGGTCACCTCGCCTGAACTTCGAATCTCACTCCACATGCCTCCTTTGGCGAGGCTAAACACCAAATGGAGAAGCCTCTACATGGTTGCACCATCCACCATGTAGGGAAGCGTGGAAGCCTCGGAGGAGAGGTCCTGATCCCCAACTCTGGGGTCACCTCGCCTGATCTCCGAGGCTCAGTCTACATGCCTCCTTTGGTGAGGCTAAACGCCAAATGGAGAAGCCTCTACATGGCTGCACCATCCACCATATAGGAAAGCGTAGGAGCCTCGAAGAAGAGGTCCTAATCCCTAACTTTGGGGTCACCTCGCCTGAACTCCGAGGCTCACTCCACATGCCTCCCTTTGGCGAGGCTGAACGTCAAATGGAGAAGCCTCTACATGGCTGCACCATCCACCATGTAGGGAAGTGTGAGAGCCCTGGAGGAAAGGTCCTAATCTCCAACTCTGGGGTCACCTTGCCTGAACTCCGAGGCTAACTCTACATGCCTCCCTTTGGCGAGGCTGAACGCCAAAGAAAGAAGCCTCTGCATGAACATATCATCCACCATAGTTTTACCTCCCTAATTCAAACTCAATGGAAAAGGTCCAATCAAATAACCTATTGAGTTTATATTGAATACTTCATTTCACTTGGATGTCGTGGTATATTTCAAGTGTGTGGACTTAGGTACAACCTATTAAGTCATCATTTATATAGCTTGA